AAAAAAAAAAAAATAAGTACCGAAAAAAAAAGACAATAATTCGGTCCAAAAAGAGTGAAAAATAAATTTTTAAAAAAATAACTACGGTCTAAAAAAAAAAAAATCGAAAAAATAATATAAAAAAAATTGGTCATAAAAGACCGAAACAATAGGATTATTTAATAAAAAAAAATTAATAATAATTTTCCAGTTTGGGAAAAAAAATTAAACCTAAACGGGAAAAGAACGAGAAAAAACAAATTTTTTGGTTTGAAAAAAAAATAAAAAAAAAGCTAAATAAAAAAAAAATTAATAGTAGGTAAAATTTCATTGATTAGTTTATTGGGATTTGGGAATGTTCTATAGTCCTACACTCCTACGTGATACCGCGCGTTATAATGAAAATGAATATAATAAAATGATCGCCCTATTAATATATTCAGAAAAGTCTAAATTTAATTCAATCATCCCCTAATCCCCTATAAAAAAAATTTCGGAAAAAACTTCGATAAGTGATCATTTTTCTAGTTTTTATTCCGAAGAAACTCAGACACGTGATCATTTCTAAAAACTTTTTACATCACATGAATTCTATAATTAAATTATTAGTCAATTTTATGAAAAAGATCAATATAAAAATTCATAAAATATGAATCTTTGATAATTTATATAAGAAAAATCTTTTTAATACCGTCTCTTTACTAGTCAACGAAAATATTTTAAGAATTGATCAATATTTTTAGTAAAAGTATCACTATTGAATGTACTTTCATCATTTATGGAACTATAATAATAAATTAATAATGAATAGGATATCATGATATAGTATATTTTCCCACAATATCCAAATCAAAAGATTGAGCGTAAAAACAAAAGTAAAAATATTTGTCTTAAGTCACTGGTTTTGATAAGCTGTAAAATTATAGTTAATAAAGTAATTCACGAATAAATACGTTTAGTTTAATGTTAAACCAAAAATTATATCATGATTATCAGTGATTTTTTAACTCAACCAAAAAAATGAAAATTCGATTTAAAATTCCTTGTAGATTGGACTTTAAAGCGTATATCGATCATTTATAATTTATTCAATGGTATTATACAGAAAGATAAATACAATAAAACTTAAGATTAGTTTGAGTTTGATATTATAATAATTATGTGTCGTTTAGTGAGTAAAAGTATAAAAAAAAAGAAATAAAATTTTATAAAAAATAAAATAAAAGATTATAATATTTACTACCACTTCTAGGTCCAATAACAATAACATAAATGATTTCATTATTGACCAAGGACCCCGAAATATATATGTAGAGGTCAGGTTCAGAAGTGGTCCAAAATACGCATTCTTTCAGGGCCGGAATTACGATAATTTCAGCCATTATCTAAATTAGGAAATATTATTTTGGCTGGGATTATCCATAGAAGGAATGATCTACATGATTTTTTTGACTCATTATACACAAACTTTGACCTGACCCTTTTATGTATATTTTGGGGTCCTATTGACCACATGATTTATATCAATTTATTCGGGTATAGCGAATTGGAATATTTTGACTTTCTGCACGAATTATTTTTAATAGTTTGTATTTATAGCTCAACGTAAATGCACATCGAAAAAAATTTACGTCTTGTATAATATAAATAATATGTATTTTTTAGATTTATATTTCAAATAGATGAAAACATTTTTTCATTTTAGTAGGTTACACTGTATGATTGACACGAACATATGAAATTAAAACTTTAAAAATAACGAAAGTATTTGAATTATATAAAATAGCAGCAGAAAAAGGCACAATATCAACTTGGATGTCACCATGATAAAGGAATTGGAACTGAAGTTAATAAAGTAGCATTTGAATTATGTAAAATACATCAAAAACTTTTATTTATATAATAATTACACAGCCATATTGCTAATCTATAGAATTGGCCAAGATTAAAGATTTACAGTATATAAAGTTATGCGTTATTATAAGACCATGTGCTTTTGTGATAATTCCTACTGAAATATTATTATCTTTTTTGGATACTGGCTGACATTACAATAATTCGGCTCAGTAAACAACTTATCCTGTAATGTATACTATTTTATAATTTTAAATTCTTTTAATTTCTTATTAAAGAAAAATCTTTATAAAATAAAATTTACTAATACATTTTTTATTATAAAAATTCACTAATAAAAAAAATATTTTACCAATAAAATTTTTTGTGATAAAAAAATCTCATTAAAACTTTTAATAAAATTTTTTATAGAAAAAAAAATCTTATATTAAAAAAAAAATTTTCCAATAAAATTCTTTAACAAAAAATTTTTAATAAAAGTTTATATAAAAAAATAAATGCTTTGCCTATCTTAATAAACTATTTATATTTTAAAAAAATTAAAAAATACTATATAAATATTAAAATTAAAATACTATAGTAAAATATATAAAAAATCATATATGCAAAATTTTATTATAACATTTTATTTTATACTTCAAATTCTTTAATTTCTTATTAAAAGAAAAAACTTTATAAAATAAAATCCAACACATTTTTTATTATAAAACTTTACTAATAAAAAAAACATTTTACCAATAAAATTTTCTATAAAAAACTTCCAAAACTCTTCAAATATAAAATCCCATTAAAATTTCTAATAAACTTTTTCCAACAAAATTCTTTACCAAAAAATTCTCTAATAAAAGTTTTTATATAAAAAAAAAAAAAATGCTTTGTTTATCTTAGCAAACTAATTGCACTTTAAGAAAATTAAAAAATAACAAATATTAAAATTAAAAATTGAATAAAAAAAATAAATTAAAAAATCTAAAATTAAAGATTAAAAATAAAATTAATAAAATATATAAATGGTTATATATGCAAAATTCTATTATAACATTTTATTTTATAACTCAATAAGACTCTTTCTTATAATACTAAAATTGTCTAAACTCAGCATGTTTATCTATAGCTATAACCCTTTAAAGATACAGTACATAATCTCATCAAAGGTAGTAAATAAAATAACACAGAATGTCCAATAAAAACTGTAATAAATAAATAAGAATTAAAATTATAATAATAAAAAGATTTTTTTTAGACCCTTTCAATGCTATCTAAAAAATATATAGGAAACGTTTTTTTTTAACATAATAAGAGTTATTTTTGACATTTTACCAAATAACCCTTCTAATATCTAGTGGTTCAGTACTAAATGGTACTTCTATTACTGACCGATTTCCTTTAATTATTATTTTATTTATTATAAAATCAAATGTAATATAACAAATAACCAATACCCTATCTTTTTTATGTATAGTTCTGTGAACCATAATTAAAATCTCTCAAAAAAAAATTATAATAATAATAATTAATTTCAATGAGTGACATCATTAACAAATTTATTATTAATAAATCTTTTATATTTCGATAAATACACATATTATAAATACAGAAAAGTATTCAATTTTTTTTTTTAGGTTTCAAATGCTTTTATTAATTGAAATATATTTGATTGAATTTATAAAAAACAAAAGAAAAGAGAAGAAAAAAAAGAAAAAAAAAAAGAAAAAAAAATCTGAAAAAGAAAAAAGAATCTATAAAGTAAATAATTTAATTAATTTAATTAGTTTTATTTTTTATCAATTAAAAAAGTTTATCTTGCCACAATACTGTTGGTTCAATGTGAACTTAATTATTAACTCTTGTTCCACATTATCTGAGCTCAAGAGCAAAAAAGACCATTTTTTTGCCAATTGATTAACTTGATCCATTTTTTTTTTCTTCATAGCAATATTGTACATGAATATGAATGCATCAGTACACACTCTGCGATGATCATCACACTGAGACACCCATTAGATAAGAACATTTTCTAATTGTGTATCCTCAGCAAATATCTGAGCTCAAGAGCAAAAAAGACCATTTTTTTGCCAATTGATTAACTTGATCCATTTTTTTTTTCTTCATAGCAATATCATACGTGAATATGAATGCATCAGTATACACTCTGCGACGATCATCACACTGAGACACCCATTGGATAAAAACATTTTCTAATTGTTTATCCTCAGCGAAAATGCCCATACAGGTTTCTTTTTCAATAAATCTGTTCATATTCTTTTCACAAATTTTGTATACTACCTAAAAAAAAGGAGATTTTATTAATTTTCACAATCAAGTGCATCACCATTATAATAAAATCCCTAACCCTAACCAACCCACTTTAATCATTTTAATGATTGAGATGAGATCACGAGAAAATTTTAATTGAATGAACTTATATTAACTGATCAAAAAAATCCCCTAATTTTTTTAGAATACATTTTAAAAATATCTAATTATTTTGGATCAGAAGATACTGTAAAGCTTTTTCACTTGAGTCATTCTGATCTAGCTTCTAGTGCATTTAACAATAAAGAAATATTAACAATTGTAATATTTCGTAAAAGTAATAATAATGTATCATCCCATCAGAAGCTGGTTGTATTGGAAAAGAATATCTTTAATCAGACTAGAATATTCAGATACATTGTTTTCCAGAAATTTAGAGCCCTAGAACCCAAACTCATTTTTATCTGGTTTGCATCCTTTATGGACCCAAGCTATCTTATCATTTTCTTTAATTGATCTTTTAAATTGTTAGGAAATGAAAATCATGTTAATCCTTCTAATACCTCATCTTCAGACTGAAACTTTTCCATGTGAAATTCATTGTTCATTTCTCTCCACAGTTTTACACTGTCATTCTCTTCTTTGATTTTGGTGCAGACTATGCATGAAGATTCCACCAATATAAGTTTGTAGAATTTTTTTTCACTACATTCCATAAACATAACATCAGGTTTTTTACCCTGTTTTTGATCTCCCTTTCTATCAGCACTAGCAACACTTTGTTGCTCTGCACTAAACAGAAATAAATTTAAGTTTTAAATATTTTTCCTTAAGATGAGAAAAATGTATTTATAATATTCACATATGTTTTTTGAAATTGCATTCTTTTTTTTGAATTTTCAATTTCTATAAAAATTTCTATAGATATATACTTCAAGAATATTCTATTTGATGAAAAATCTGCCAATATTGTAAACTTATCTAGCTGAAATTTTTTTGGGATTAATGTAGCTTGTATTTCTATATAAATTATAAATGAAAAAATTTTCTCTTTGGTAAAGATATTGATATAAAGCATATAATATTATTTTCTGATTACTTTGAACATGTTCATCAGTCATATCTTTATCATCCACAGAAATATTACTTTTAAATAAATGTTCCATCCATGCATTTTCACAATGTACTGTTTACTATTATAGTCAAACCTCCATATAATCATCATTCCTTATATATGATTACATCTTTATAATCATATGTTTTTACTAATCTACATATCATTTTAATTAATAATTTACACCTTTATATTGTCAGATCCTATATATAATTACTAATTTCTATAGAATCTAAGAGTTTTAATGTCAAAAATAATCTTGTATGGTGTGGTTTATTAGTTACTCTATAATATCTTACATAATATTAAAATTGTGTAGTTCTATGTAGAGTTTGTTAATTTCAATTATCTGAAAAACTATATTACTAGTTAATTGCCATTGCATAGTATTCATTAGTATTTTTTACAATTAAATTTAAAATATTATGTTTTTAAGGTCTGTAGTCTGTATTGTTTCTGAGTGATTCTTTGTTGTAACTAAATGTTTTTTGTAAATTTTTAAGGCAGTCTTCACATTTCTACATTTTTGATGAAATCATACTTATTATTATTATTAATGTTATCATTATCATTCATTTTGATGGCAAAAATAATGAAAAATTCCTTCATTTAGTGATTTCATAAGAATTAAAAGCCAGATTAATCCAAATATCTTTCAGAAGAATTGAAATTATCTTCAAGTTTTTCTTCTAACTCTTTCATAAAGTTAGTTTATTTGAAATTGTATTCTAAAATATTGATGGGAGTACAAGCATCTAATAATTCTAAAACATCTGGTAGTTTTATAAAAGCTTCATGCTTTTTATTTTTATTTGTAATTTCAAATTAATGTCTTCTCTATTAATAATTGCATGAGCAGCTCCTGCAATATTTGAACTTACATTTAGTCATAATATCATGAGAATGAGTGAACAAAAAAAGTGAAGTAAACTTCTCGTTCAAAAATGGGTGATAAGTTGCAATATTGTCATGATATAAATGAGATCATTTGTTTTAAATGTGTTGTAGGCCATTCATTAGAAGGAATATTGACTTATTACAAGGACATCTAAGGAATTATTAACCAATAATAAGGTCAGGTAATACAATTAATTAATAAAATACTGAATTTATTATGTCAGTAATATGGAATAACCCAACAATTGTCTATAATATATCATCTGTAAATGAATATTTAACTTTAATAACAATTCAATATAGTCTGTATATTTAAATTTGCAGTTTTGCTTGTAGAATATCTTTGATTCTTTGTCTACTGGATTTTCATCCTTTTTGATTCTTCTTTTTTAATGAGAAAGTTGTAAATTGATACAAATATGCATATTCATATTATAACAATACTAGTGTAGGTTAGTCCTCTTCCTGATGGATACATGCCATAGATGAATATGCAACTCATTTAAAGAGCCCAAAAAATCCCAGCCTTATAATATCCTAATAATTTGATAATATAGCTTAGAGTGTATCTTGATTTTATTTTTCTTGAACTCTCCTCTTTAAACATTGCTTTAAATATTTAACTTATAAACTAATGTTAAGGTGTTGTTAATACTAGGTATTGAGAAAATAATTGCATTTTAATTGTAATATCCAATATCTGTAACTATTAGTAAATCTGGTTGTTCCTTTGGTTTAATTAATATCAAGCCATAGCTGAATTAAAATAAGTTTATCTTTAAACTTGTGAAATAATATACACATTGGTAATAGAAAGTGATACAATAATGAGGTGTCAATCACTGCACATAATGACTTCACAACGCATTTGTCCCCACTTAGGAAGTATACATTCACCAAATACATCTGCCTATTGCTTAATTTTTTGACCATTTTATGGCTTCTAATAGTGCTTCAAATTTATCGTCCATAGTTACAGTTTCTTCATAGGTCGGTAAAATTGGTGTGACTTCAATGGGAAAGCTGATATATACTGACAGTATGAATCACCAGTTTTTTTAATTATATAAGAAACTGTAAATATGAAATATAAAAATTAAAGTGTTACGATTCAAACTCTATATTTCTGGAATGAAAATATTAAATAGAGGAGTTCTATTTTTTTTTCAAGCAAATAATACTTCAATATTTCACAAATCATAAAATTTTGATTGTGCTGTTAACACTTTTGTAATTAAATTTCTTATAATTTCAAAAGTTTGAATCCTTAAAGTCTTTTTTGTCCATTTTTGATTTAATTTGATGTTCTTGACTGAAATTTAAATAATAAGTTATATAAATATTATTCAAAAATTCAAAAATTAAATTATAATTATTTAGGTGATAAAAAAGAAAAGTTCCACACCACCCGATCCAGGTGAACTTTTTTCAAAAATTAACACCTCCCTTTAAGACGAGTTATTTTTGGTTTTCAAAGCCTTGAAGCGAATTGTGATTTATTTTTGGAGGAAGCTGAATATCATGCAGTCTTAATAAAATTTATTGGTAAATTTATAAGAATTTTTTTAATAAATTCTTTTTGATTATTTCATAGATTTCTATCTGACTTTAAAAATTACAGTAGTAGTTGCAATGTTGCTTTTATTGGCTGTCCAGTAATTATACATTCAGAACATTATATATATTGTGCCTGTGAATAAAAGAACCAACAAAAATCTTATTAACACTCACACTGCATTCTTCTAGGGAAGCTTCCTTCACTAGTATTCATTTTAGTATCATATTGAAGAATGTCAAGAATTTTCGGATTCTGATTATTTTTTATTGAACTTTAATTGTATGATATGATTCCAAATATTCTAGTATCGTCTAAGTATTTGGATTTTATCTTAGCATAGAATTAGTCAGCAACTTTAAAAGGCTATCAAATGCAGTTAATTTCCACCATTAAATTTAAAGGAATAATAATACTATATATTGTTTGTTTTTAATTTGTTTCTAACAGAAAAATAACTTTTGTTTACTGATGATCATCATCTTTGGAAAATTCTTAACAAGATTTAGACTTTTTTAAATTTGTAGTTGATATTTCACATCTTTTTCTTAATAAATATTGATGCTTTTAGTAAATTAGTTCTAAATTAATAGTGAATGATATAACCCAATTAATACATATAAGTAATATTTAAGTTGTAAGTATGCATAGAGTCAAATGATTAAATTCGGCAATAATTATTATTTAAATTCGAAGTGATAATAATATTAAGAATAGAATTATTTTTCTATAGTTGCTTATGTTCTTGTCATTTAAAAATATATTCTGTCCATTATTTAATTAGTACAAATAAATATAAAGTATTATTTATAATAAAAAGTGGAAATGCAAATAATTAAAGAGAGAAAAGGAAAAAAAAGATCCTTAAATTTAGTTTACTGACATGGGCTTAGCATCAATTTTTTATTTATTATCAGTTTTTGTGGCAAAGTATAAATAATAAGCATGGCAAAATTACAAAGCCCATCAGTAATTATTGAAATGTTAAACCAAATTTGTTAATATTGTAATTATCAGGAGTTCAGGACCAATAAATTGTTAACCAATTTTTTAAATTTATTATTAATAATTTTATTATGCAATATTCATACTTTAAAATTAATACTCGGATATATATATATATAGATATGGCTTTTATTTATTTAAAAATTTTTTTCTCAAGAAAATTCTAATGTTATTTGATAAATTTTATTCAATAATGGCTTTGTTATAATCAGCCACTTATTTATGATATAATAGGATTTAATTTTAATTTTTTACACTTATAAAGTTCTTCAGTTTAATAAATTTATTTATTATATTATCATACTGTGCATATTATTATTATAGCCACAATAACATGATATTCGACGAATTATTTGTACACAGCACAGCCGAGAGTAAGCAACCAAGTGTGACCAGTATGACTTTGATTGTATGATTGTACTACCTTAGTTAAGTTTGCAACTATTAAAATTCAAAAATTAATTTGATCAGTAAGACAGGACCAACTTTTTAATAATCATTTAATATTCAATATGAAAATGTGATCTGATTGGGTAGAACATATCATTTTGTTGGTTTATATACAATATGATTATAGAAAATAAAATTATTTTTCTTATATATATAAAATTTTGTGTTTAAAAACAATTTAGAATTATTAAAAGAAATTTAATAATGAATTTTTATATTCTTCATAATAAGTAGTCGATTTATTGGTTTAACAAAATTAATATAAAATATTTTTCCGAAAGAAACTTAACTACAGTATATAAAAGTTATGATAAGATAGATTTTCTTGGTTTATAAGTATTATCATTATTAAAATAATTTTAATAAAAATATTAAAAAAAATATATTGAAATGAATTACGTCATAATGAATAATAACTCAATCACACTAAACATAAAATGAATGAATTATTCAATGTTACTTTTCAAACGTGTATGTTAATGATTGGCTTCTATCCAAAGTCATTTGGAAAGATTGACATGGCATTTTTTTTTTTGAACGTGGTATGGATTTTTGAAATGCCAGGATTTTTCTTATCTTGATTTTTCCAGGTAAAACAGGTTTAATAATTATGTTAATTAGAGATCAATGGAATATAAACTAATTGAATATGCTTTACACTCCTCTTTATTATATTGGTGGAACGTCATTAATATTGAATGGGAACTGCCCTGGTAAATCACATGGTCCCATAGTTTGGTAAATGGAAATTGTTTTATTATTAAAACCATTATTTGTTCAAATTTCTATAAAAATTCGATGTATGATCACCCACAACTATTACAATGACGTATATACTGTACCTACGAACTTAAATCGTGTAATAAAGATTTAATTTATAATTTTTTAAAATTCAAAAATGATTTCTTAAAATTCCATATCCAGTTTTCGTAAATGATAAATTTTCCTCTCAAGTAGATTGGTGTTGATCTGTCTCTCATACAAGAACTGGGTACAATTAAATTTAATAAAAAATAGAAAAAAAAAACAAATTTGTTAAATAAGTCCAAAATTGAACATTCAAAATTAACATTGACGCTTTAAGTAAATTTGCAGAACAGATAAAAATACACATACTGCGTATCTATTTAAAATTATGTTTATTA